GTTTCTCTTTTGTAGAAACTCGCTTCTTTTTCCGCTTTTATTCTTTCAGATTTTTCAAAACTCAAATTTTCTTTTAGCTTTAAGAAGTCTTCTGAAAGTTGGATTACCTTTAACTCTAGTTCTGATGGACCAGAGTTGGTTTCATGCGGGTAAGACTCACATACCTGATTGTCAGAGTTGGAGGAGGATTCTGCATTGGACGTGGCCATCASACAGATGAGTGCCTTATCTTCATCATCTGATGAAGAATCAGACACCCAGTTTTTTTTCGGCCATCAAGCTTCGCTCTCGTGAGTTATACTTGTATTTGTTCTTGTAGTAGTCTGCGTCCTTGATCAAGCGTCCTTTGCATTCCTTTGAAAAATGACCAAGCTTTCCGCATCTAAAGCATCGAAGGTCATTTTTCCTTCCTTCCTTGTCCTCTCTTTGTTCTTTTCTTCTATCTTCTCTTCTATCTTCTCTTCTCTCCTCTCTTCTATCGTCCCTTTCTTCTCTTTCACCTCTTCTTTTGTTCCTCTGATAGAATTTAGATGGCTTTCTATCATAGGAAGACTGGAACTTTTYCCTTCTGAACTCTTTTTGCTCGTAGGGTTTTCTGATGAACTTCTTCTGAAATTGTCTTGTAATCAAGGCCAATGATTTGGCGAATGCTTTAATATCATCATCTGAATCAGAAGTTTCATCTTCAGATTCTGATTCGACCAATAAAGCTTTCTTGCCTTTCTTCTTGTGTTCTTTGGCAGGAATCCTTGATTTCTCAACTTCATCATTTCTCAACTTCATCGGCAGCAAGAGCAAGAGGTCCTCCAATGGATACCTTTTTCTTCATAATATCACTTTCTTGTGCTGCAAGAGTTTGAGGGATGTAGGGACCCTCCTGTATGGATCGCAGGAGATTTCTGTTCATCCCCTCCAGAAAATTTACCATTCATATCTTCCATTGAGGATACTCCTCACATTGAAGAGTTGGCGGCTTTGTGAGAGAACCAACGTTGTAGGCAGAATTCCAGTTGGCCATTGAAAAGATTTGGAGAAGAAGAAA